AGAAAGGAATAGGATGATATATTCAAAATACTAAAAGACAAACATTGCCAGGCAAGAATACTCTACCCTGCAAGGCTATCCTTCTGAAATGAAGGGCAAATAGTATATTTCTCAGACAAACAAAAACTGCAGGAGTTCACCACCACACAACCACCCTTACAAGAAATTCCCAAGGGAGTACTGGGATTGGTTCCTGAAAAATAACTACCACTGCCATAAAAACCCCAAGAAAAATCAAAACCCACTAGTATAATACAAATGGCATTCATGAAGAGAAAACAAACAAAAAGGCTATCTACAACCCAAGAAGCCAACAAATACAGAAAACAAACAGTAAATCAGAAAGCAAGGAACAAAAGACACCTAAGACAACCAAACAATAATCAATAAAATGCTAGGAATAAATCAACACTTTTCAATAACAACTCTTAATTGGAATAGTTTGTAAAGAATTGGTGTCATTTCCTCTTTGAATGTTTGGTAAAATTCTGCTGTGAATCCATCTGGTCCTGGGCTTTTCTTTGTTGGGAGCTTTCTGATAACAGCTTCAATCTCCTTTATTGTTATTGGTCTGTTCAGGTTTTCTACATCTTCATGGTTTAGTTTTGGAAGCTTGTGTGAGTCCAGAAATTTATCCTAAAAAGCTTCTGCACAGCAAAAGAAACAATTAACAGAGCTAAAAGACAACCAACCAGACCAATAACAATAAAGGAGATTGAAGCTGTTATCAGAAGGCTCCCAACAAAGAAAAGCCCAGGACCAGATGGATTCACAGCAGAATTTTACCAAACATTCAAAGAGGAATTGACACCGATTCTTTACAAACTATTCCAAAAGATTGAAACAGATGCAAATCTCCCAAACTCATTCTATGAAGCAAACATTATCCTGACACCAAAACCACTCTCACCACTCCTATTTAACATAGTGTTGGAAGTACTAGCCAGAGTAATCAGAGAAGAGAAGGAAATAAAGGGCAACCAGATTAGAAAAGATGAAGTCAAACTATCCCTGTTTGCAGATGACATGATCCTATATATCCAACAGCCTAAAGCCTCTACAAAAAAAATCGTGGAGTTGATACATGATTTCAGCACAGTAGCAGGATACAAAATCAACACACAAAAATCAGTAGCATTTCTATTCTCCAATAGTAAACATGCAGAAAGGGAAATCAAGAAAGCTTGCCCATTTACAATAGCCACCAAAAAAATAAAATACTTAGGAATTGAGTTAACCAAAGATGTGAAAAATCTCTATAATGAGAATTACAAACCACTGCTGAAATTAGAGAGGATACAAGAAGATGGAAAGATATCCCATGCTCTTGGATTGGAAGAATCAACATAGTGAAAATGTCCATACTACCCCAAGTGATATAAAAATTCAATGCAATCCCCATCAAAATTCCAATGACATTTTTCTCAGAAATGGAAAGAACTATCCAGACATTTATATGGAATAAAAAAAGACCACGCATAGCCAAAGCAAAGGTGAGCAAGAAAAATAAGGCTGGAGGCATAACACTACCTGACTTTAAACTATACTACAAAGCTATAATAACCAAAACAGTATAGTACTGGCATAAAAACAGACACACTGATCAATGCAATAGAATAGAGACTCCAGAATCAACCCACACACCTATAGCCATCTGATCTTTGACAAAGGCACCAAGCCTATACACTGGGGAAGAGACTGCCTCTTTACCAAATGGTGCTGGGAAAACTGGATATCAACTTGCAGGAGAATGAAACTAGACCCATACCTTTCACCATACACTAAAGTCAACTCAAAATGGATTAAAGAATTAAACATACACCCTGAAACAATAAAACTTCTTAAAGAAAACATAGGA